ACTGAACCCATTTAGCGCACCTTTTAAGGGACTAACTGGTTTACCAAGGTAAATTCTGCTAACATATTGCCTGTCTTAGTGATAGTGATGAACTTAATAGGCATAGCCCCAGTATAGCGGGGTTCTTTAAGAGGCTGTGTCCGGGACTCATGTCCATGGTTAACTCTGAGCCACTCCGTGCTCTTCTGGTTGTGTGTGAAGAACATTTCTTGACACACGTTGTTGGGTAGATTGTGTCTTTTGTTTTTTTTCTAATTTAGAAATTTCACTGTTTGAGAGTATACAGAACTCAACACAGTTCTCCAAGTAACCATGTCTTACTGAATTCTTAACCAGTTTTGTGAAAGTCTAAATTCAAGAATAGGAGAATTTATGTAATGGGAACATTGTAACAGGGCACTCTTTATATTGGCGTTGTGAGCAGGCCTGGCTCATCCGCTGCAGGATCTTTGGATCTTTCCCCTAGACATGAAAAGCAAAGCACTCCTCTTTGAGAGTGTTTGCGCCTGTGGTCACAGTTGTAGGGTGCTGTATGGTCAGCATGCTTCCCTTAAAAGAAGTCCTGTTAGCCTAGTAGATGACACGTTGAACTGCTTAACCAGAAGGTCCACAGCTTGAAACCACTGGCTGCTCCTCAGGAGGAGGAGGAGGCTTTCTCTGCCCTGCAGGGTGGCCCTGAGCCAGCACTGACTTGATGGCCGTGACTGGAGTTTTGAAGTCTGTGCTTCATTAAGTTGGAGGCCTGTTCATGGCAAAATACTTGTTTTTGGAGCCTGTCAAGATATTCTATTAACTTTGTAGGAAAACACAGATTTTAATTCGGGAGAATGGCTGTTTCGAGTCTGATGTCCAGGGGACTTCAGCTCTCCAACGCTCCATAGGCAGTATGGAGAAGCCACTATTTCAAAGGCCATGGCACTGCTTTGTTGGCTATGCAGTCATCGGCCTTTCAGTCGTTGTTTTGGATTGAAGGAAAGGATTTTCCTTTTCTCATTGGAATTCACAATTTGTATTTACAGTAATGAGTTCAGTAAACAATTAAATGTATAACAGCAGTTACTGAACTTGAGTTATGGTTTAGCCATAGATATGCACGGGTGCTTCAAAAAGTTCATGGAAGAAAGGAATGAAAAGAAATTGGAATTTTTCCACTATGATATCTCATCACTAATTGAGTTTCTAGTACGTCAAATCTAGTTGTAGTGTATTTTTTAAAATACCAAACCATAACTTACATGTTTCTTTGTAGAACTGAATTATTGTAATGTATGCTGCTAGTCCACGACAAATATTAAACTCATATAAACAATAATCATTTAAATCAATAGTAGTTGTTAAAGTTTAGTAAGATAGGAGTTACAATGACTGTATCTCAGGAGAGTATATTCAAATTTATATACAATCTTGCCTTGAATTAGACCTTAAAATTAAAGAGAAATGTGTATTATTAGAGTTTTTCAAATATGCTGATTGAAAATATGCCTTTTGAATTGATACAGATTTTCAGCTTAGAGTCTTTTAGGTTTCATTCAACTTTGTCAGTCCTGCATAGGACCAATTTACAAAATGCCACATCGTTATTGAAGCAGGATAGTAATTTGCTATTTATTTAAAACTGCTTCTATACTATAATTATTATATAGTGTACCTAAGCACATCTTTTTTAGTTTCTGGAAGTATAGTTGTAGTCCACAGGTCTGGCCTCCAGAAGTAGAATCAGCTAAAGAATATACATAAATTATTTCCTGTTTGCTTTCTGTCCTGTCTTCTGTAAAGAAACAAATGTTGGAGTAAACCTTGAACATGAGAAATGTTCTCAACCCTTTTCTGGACAAAATCATTATGTGGCTTTGTCTTTCACTTACTTTTTTGTGAATACATTCCAGTTTTCTAAATTGTATAATAGTAATCCAAAATTATGTTTTCAAAAATAATTTTGTTGTTAAGAATATGCACAGCAAAGCACATGCCAGTCCACAGTTGCTACATGTGCTGTTTTGTGACATTGATTGCATTTATTGAATTATGTACTCATCTTCACCCTTCTCTTCTGGATCGACCCCCTCTTCACTGTCCCCTAAGGTTCTTGCGTAGTCTTTTGAGTTGTTGTCCGCACGAGCCCATGTGTCGTTGCTGCGTGCCATCCAGTCTGTTCCACCTCTGTACAAAAGCACGAAGCATTGCCTGGTCTTGTGCATCCTCAGAGTTTTGTTGTTTAAGCCCATTGTGACCACTGTCAGTGTTGTTCAGGGCCTTCCTCTTTTTTGACCCTTTATCACAGAGAGTTCCTAAAAGAGCATAAGGCTCAATGCAGATATTTTTTGTTTAAGGTTTAAAAACATTTTCAAAGGTTCTTCTAATCTTTTGACTCCAAGATGTCTATAGTCTACAAGAATTTGAAATTCAGATGTGCATTCCACCTCTTTTTTGGGGTATGGGGTGGGGGGTATAAGAGAAAGTTTTATGTAAAGGGTAATTGTACATTAAGAAAGCATCCCAACCCAGCATTCCACCTCTTTTGATAAGGATTCTTCTATGTAATCTCTGATTAAAATGTTCATTAATGCTAGTCCAGCAAAGAAGGTAATTGTTTGTGGAAGCTGTTAGCCACACACTTCCTCCTCTTCTGGACTGCCCTTCGTTGTTCCAGGTAAATAGACACCAGCTACCTTGGACGACCACTTACAATCTTGTAAGACCCCCGGCACCACTCATCAAATAGAAACACTTGGCATGTTACAAGGGGGCTTCAAAAAGTTCACGGAAAATTCCATTGTCTTATTTAATATAGATAGTGAGTTAGTTGAGGGCTTACATATCAGGTCATCATTTTTGCATTCAACAACTTAGCGTATCAACCCTTCCCATTCCATTATCTTTAATTCCATTTTCCACAAACTTCTGGCTTCTTCGTATTAGGCCAGTTAGCTGGGATGCACCATGAACCCCAAACCCCCAAAGCACGAACCTGAGTCCTTTGAGAGAGTTTGGTGGTACTAAGCAGCGTTAGCAGCCTCTCATTTTGTGTCTTCGTTTTGTCAGTGTTGTAGCTAAAGCTACACACAACTTTGCCATTCACTTCTTTATGTAGAACTTACTGACAGTAAGGACAGAACTGACAGTGCAGCCCTAGCCTTCAAGCAGTATTTCCATCGCCATCAAGTGTCCCCACTTTTGACCCTCTCCGTTTCACTGCTGGTAACCACTAATAAATGTTGTTCTCTTTACATTAGCCTTTTATTTCCTTTTTAATAACGAGGTCGTACAGTATTTGCCCTTCTGTGATTCACTTGGTTTGCACAACAGAATAAGAGCTAGGAGTCAGCGCTGACTCGATAGCAGTGATTTTTTTTGCTTGTTTGTTTAATGTCTTCCAGCTTCACCTGCATTGTAGCGTGTGTCCAGACTTTCTTACTGGTTGAGTAATACAGTATTTTATTGTGTATATGTCCTCTGTCTAGTTTATCCATTCATCTGTTTGTGGGCATTTGGATTAGTTCTATCTCTGGGCTGTTGTGAACAGTGCTTTGATGGTGTCCATGTCTCGCTGACTCTCTGCTTTCAAATCTTTGGGGGTATATGAGGGGGCCTCAAAGGCTTCATGGAAAAATTGCATTATCTTTGAAGTCCATTTTCTCTCTTTAAAATTCCATTGTATATCTAGGAGTGGAATTTCTGGGTCACAACGTAATTCTGGTTTTAGCATTTTGAGGAAATGCCATGCTATTTTGCCACAATGGCAATATCATTTTCATTCTCACCAACAATAGATATGAGCTCCAATTGCCCCACCTTTTCACCAACATTCGTTATTTTTTGTTTTCTTCTCTTTTTTAATCTGAGCTCTTAGACGTGAACTGGTATTTCATTATAATTTCAGTTTGTAGCTCTCTGATGGCTGCTATACTGCATGCTGGCTGACTCATCCCTTCCATGAGACCTTCTGTGAGGGCATGTCCAGTTGTCTACAGATGGGCTCTGGGTCTCCACTCTGCTCCCCCTCGTTCACATCAATATGACTGATTGTTTTGGGTCTTCTGATACCTGATTCCTGATCCCGTTGACACCTCATGGTCACACAGGCTGGTGTGCTTCTTCCTTGTGGGCTTTCTTGCTTCCCTGCTAGATGGCTGCTTGTTTAACATCAAGCCTTTGAGACCCCGCATGCTATATTTTTTAATAGATGGGCACTAAATGTGCTTTCTTCACCATATTTGCTTATGCAGCTATTTTACTCCAGCGATCGTGTTGGGAAGCAGGATAGTAGTTTACTATTTATTTAAAACTATGTATCTATACTGTAATTATTCTGTAGTATACTTAAGCACATCTTTTTTAGTCTCTGGACGAAGTATGGTTGTAGTCCACAGGTCTGGCCTCCAGAAGTAGAATCAGCATCACAGAATGTCGGGTTATGAGAACAAAGTGTTTTGTGTGGAAAGAGGACTTGAGTAGAGGCAGAGTGGAACATTTTTTAAGAGCTTTGTAGTCAATGCTGGAACTTTGTTCATGGGTACCATTAAAATTTTGAAAGATAATAACAATTGTGCAATCTATTGGGGTTATGAGCGGGGGAGGTGGGGGAAAAGAGGAGCTGATACCAAGGGCTCAGTAGAAAGTAAACGTCTAGAAAAGAATGAAGGCTACATATGTACAAACTTGCCTGATTTAGTCGATGTATGAATTGTGATAAGCTGTACGAGCCCCAATAAAATGATTAAAAAAAAAAACTTTGAAAGAATTACTTTCCCTTTGATACATTTATATTTTAGACTGAAGAAATAAATTGTTCAGCTGCTGCCAAGTGGGTTCTGACTCACAGTGACCCTGTGTACAACAGATGGAAATACTTCTGGACCTGTGCAGTTTTTATATCTATATCTGTATAAATCATTTTATTGGGGGAAGTTCTATATTTTAACATTAATTTTGTACTGAGTTATCTTTGAAGGCTAATAAGCAAGAAAATGGTTTTCTCTCCTTTCTTTTCCCTGAATCAGGAAGCTCTGGAGGAATATGTGAAAAAAGTAAGCTCTATTCAGACGGTAAGAAGAAGTCCTTAAACACTGGGATCATTACTGTGCAGAACTATGGGTCTCACGTGCCTCCCAAAGTCTCTCACATCACTTTTGCTCATGAAGTTGGACACAACTTTGGATCGCCAGTAAGTGTTATTAGGTTTTAAAAACTCACAAACTGTTAGGGTAACTTTTATTTTTAGAGGGATTTGTTTGTTTATAATAAAAACAAGTACATACAAATGTTTCATTTTTCTATGCTAGAATAAAGCACTGCATTTGACCACACTGATAGGGAGGAAGCTAAAAATATTTGTGATTAAAATAAGTAAAAGTAATGGTTCCGTCAAAATCTTAGAAAGGCAAGAAGTTTTGTTCACGGTACACCTCTTGGTCTTAGGACTGAGCTGAATACATATTTCACTCAATTTTTTCCCCCCTCCCGGCTCCTGCGCTCAAATATTTTTAAAATGAGACCCACTCATCATTGTTTACAAAGTACACTTTATAGCAAATGGTGGAGTATTTTATTATTGTTTTGTTTCTGTTAAAGCATTCTTGTCATTTGCGTGATTTGTGTTTTTCTGTATTTTACTATGAAAATGTCCTGCCATACACAAAAAATAGAGAGAGTAGCATAGTGAACATTTGTGTGTCCCCCTCTAGGTCAGGAGCTGGCATCTCTTCTTGTAAAGGATCTGTTTGTAAACATTTTAGACTTTGGGGCAACGTTTGATGTGTGGTTGCCATTTTCTTATTTTGATTTACAGTCTTTCAAAGGTGGAAAAACCATTCTTCGGGTTGATGACTAGGTTGAAGTGTGCCACAATGGAGCCTTCAAGTCATGGTGACCCCACATGCAATAGCATGAAGTAGTCACCACTGTCACGTGCCATTTTGTCATTGAGCCTATCGTGCCTCAATGGTATTTGTTGTAAGGAGGCGTTCCCTTGCACTTTCATTCACTCTCACCTTTTCCACACTTGGTGCCCTCACCCAGCGAAAGAGCTCTTCTGAGGACAAGTCTAAACCAAGTGAGTCAGGATACTCTTTTGTGGTCCCTTGGCCAGTTTCTGGACGTGGATTGCCAACTCCTATTAGTTTGTGTTCGTCTAAAAGCTCCGCTGAAACATGTTCTCTGTGGGTGACTATGCTTGGAACAAAAGAGAACACTACCACACAGAAAGAGAAAACTTGGGGCTGTGGGTGAGAGGAGCCAAGGACAGGGGAATTGGAATGGGCTGGGTGCCCCCTCCCAGCCAAGGAGGTCATATGGGGGAGGTGTTGACAGCCTGGCCTTCACTACATTCTTTGCTGGCCTAGAAGATGGGGTCAGGGCGCTTGACCAAGAAGGTGTTCATCTTGGTTCAGATGGTGGCTGGGTCAGTGGTCCTGGGCCTGGAAGGAGTTATTGCAGGCACAGAGGGCAGCTGGGGACAGGGTGGTTGGTTCTGTAAGGTGTTCCTGCTCGCCTAAAGCTAACTGGGGGACAGGTTGCCCGTGTGACACTCCATGGTCTGCTGCTCTGAGGAGGTAGAACGTGTACATTCCATGCGCAGTAGCGTGCACCCACACCTGCGCCTGATCTACTTCCACAAGGGTGTACCTGCAATCTCAAGACAGCAGTGGCTGTGTGGGGATGCCATTGGCCACTGAGAGGATGAGGGTGGGGCCGGGCCATACTTCTTGTCATCAGGGAAGTGTAGGGAAGGGGAGGAGGACCATACCTTTCTGGTCAACAGCACCGGTGTGTGTGCTTGAGCTGCCCTGGAAAGTAGCTGCTTCCAAACGTGAAAAACGGCCGTGGTGTCAGGCTAGCTTACAGTTCATCTGCTCCATCTGCCTCCTCTCTCAACAACCTTGGTCAGCTTCTTTTCCCAACTGGTATTCATTCAATCCATGTCTCTACCCTTTACGCAGAAGCTCAGGTTCCCAGGTTATCATTCATATCTCTTGTATCTTTATTGTAGAGGGACTAGGTAGCATGTCTTGCCAGAAGTCCACAAATCCTATTTCCTTTCAATATTCTCTGAGTTTGGGGAACAAAAAAGTCTGAAGGAATAAGATCAGAGCTATATAGTGGGTGGGGGACAGTTTCCCAGTGAGATTCTTCTAGGACAGCCTTTGCTACCCTCAGAGAATGAACAGGTGATTGTCATGATGGAAACATATTCCTTGGTGCAACTTTCCTGTTTGATTTTTGTTTACTAATGCAGTTTTTCATTTCCTGATCATAACCCCGCTGATCGTACTGTGTCCTTTGAGAAAATCTATGAAGATGACCCTGTTGGAATCCCCCAGAAGTCAACGCTACTCTGAGTTGACCTCTGCTTTGAATGTAGTTGGCCTAGCAGATCCCGCTGGAGCCCACTGCTTTTATTTGGCCTTTCTGGGGGGCAGGCACCATAGCTAGAATAAGACAAATGTATCACTGCCCACAGCTGTATTAGTCTAGGTACTTTGGAGAAACAAATCCACAGCAACTCATGTATAAGAGAGTTTTATGTAAAGAAAGTGTGCATCA